GGTCCGGGGTGTGGACAAGCCAGGTTGGTGTGATGTGGAATGTGAGGGACAATAGTGCTTTTGATTGCAGGACTTCTGCAGTATTTGAGCACTCCTTCCAGACCATAAACAGCAGACCGTCTCTGTAAGCCCAACTCACCCACTGTGGACGACAAAGTAGAGGATCCGTATGTGTATATAACGAGAGAAAGGCTCTTGCATGCACATGCTGGTGTCAGAGGAAGAGCTTCTGGTCTCCACTCTGAGGTAAGAACTATCACTCTAGTCTTGTTGATGTAGGGTTCAAAGAGCAGACATTTTTCACAGTGAACCGAGGTCTGAATCAGATTATCAAGGTCGGCTTTTTAAATGTTACATGACTTGTCTGTCTCCTTTACAGACTTTGATCACCTGACATTCATGCTTCAAAGGTATTTGAGAGAGCTTTGTGCTACAAGCTGAGTGCTATTTTTTATTGACATGGAAATGGTCAGTCTTTGAAGGCAAAGCTAGGTACTTAAAACTCTGTGTAGTGGTCAGTATAAAATGTTCTGCACATTGTGTGTCAGTAGACTGGCTCGGCTTTGACCTGCCTTTGAATACTGTACTGTATGTTGTGCGCCTCCAAGTCAACTGGAAATACAATGAAGAAGTATATCTAGATTATTTCTCTCTTTCTTCTTGGTTCAAACCAGTGTATGCAATACAAGAGAAAGTTACACATGAACTTACATCATGAACCGTCATTTGTTCTAACAAAGATCCAGTGAAAAAGACTTGTACATATGTACATAATGTACATAATGTACATATACACTACCATTCAAATGTTTGAGGTTGGTACGATTTTGAAAATGTTTTTGAAATAAGTCTTTTATGCTCACCAAGGCTGTATTCATTTGATCAAAAACAGTAAAACAGTAATGTTTTGAAATAATATTATTATAAAATATCTATTTAATAATATCTAATTATTATAATATATTTTATTCCAATGAATTCTGAAGGTCTAGTCATTACTCCAGTCTTCAGTGTGACATGCTCCTTCAGAAATCATTCTAATATGCTGATTTGGTGCTCTAGAAACATTTATTATTATTATCAATGTTAAAAACTGTGATAAAGTTTATTTCAGGAATCTTTGAAGAAAGTTCAAAAGAACAGCATTTGTTTTAAATAGAAATGTAACATTATAAATGTCTTTACTGTCACTTTTGATCAATTTAATGTGTAATTGCTAAATTAAAGTATTAATATCTTTTTTTAAAAATTACTGACCCCAGACTTTTGAACGTACTGTACATTCAGTATGGGTTTATTGTCTATGTTCTGTCGATTTCTGCATATACTTTGCTACAAAAAGCTTGAACATTTCTCCTTATTTCCCAAGGGGAAAATATACAATTCTTATATAGATTCATGCTGTGCATTTGAAATCCATAGAACCGTATCTGCAGAGAACTGGTGTGTATTTGTGCATGTTTGTGTACATTTGAGTGGGATTTGTAGGATTTCTGTAGGCATGCCAGTCCCTATGCTGCCTGGGCAAGAAGAAGTGGTGCAGGGTCCTGGCAGTGGACAGCGGAGCGTCTTCCATCCAAATGTTTCTGATTGGTGGAAAAGCCTCTCTGTAAGTCCTCGCCAGAGGCTCATTTCCGCAACTGTTTTTGTTTTGAGTCGATTCAGCACAATTTTTGTCAAACACACAAATCACTGAGCGGCGAGGGTATGAGTGGGGACTCGTAATGGCACATAAACACAAAACAGAAAGGGATCCTCATCCTGCATTGAATCAACTGTTCACCCCTCCACCACAGGTCCTACCTCACTGTCTCCTGATCATTTTGAGTTTTTCACAGTATCTGATGCCCCATCTAGATATCTGATAAACCATAAACAATCAGGATTAATCACAGAGACAGTGGATTAAACTCAGAGAGAGAGAGAAATTCAAGAAAGACTGAAAAATGACACTGAATTAGTGGAAGGCCGCCTGAGGAGGGGACGCATTAGAGTCGTGCGGAGGCATTAATTCACTTCCTGCTCTGGGGAACATGGCATACAGAATTTCTCATTGAGACACATCTCAGGTTCTGTTTGTTTTGGCTACGTGTCACGGCTGCATGGGCCCGGACAGCCGGATGTGTTTATTTCTGCACAGATGTCAGTTGAGATTATTCAGCACTGACTTGGTGACAGTATGTCGTCATGGTCAGTTAGCAAGGGTTACCAGAAGAGGCCTTGGGTGCTGTAGATGATGAATGGGATGATTGGGCTAATCAGGGATGGGATGGGATGGGACTAAACAACAACTCGGGGGTATATGTCAGCCTATCATAACTCACAGAAGATAATCACTCTCTGTACTGCATATGCATACAATACAAATTATTGCCTGCTGTATTATGTGTTCGATCATTATTGTTGTTTATTTTATTTTGAAAGACTATCATTAGTAAGATTTTTTAAATGTTTGTAAAAGAAGTCTGTTATGTTCACCAAGGCTACATTTATTTGCTCAAAAATACAGTAAAAACAGTAATATTGTGAAATATTATGATTTGAAATAACTGTATTGTGTTTTAATATATTTTAAAATGTAATTTGTTCCTTTGATGGCAAAGCTGAATTTTCTGCAGCCATTACTCTAGTCTTTAGTGTCACATGATCCTTCAGAAATCATTCTAATATGCAGCTTTACTTATTATATATGTTGAAAATAGTTGTGCTGCTTAATTTTGTTGTGGAAACATGGATACTGTTTATTTTCTGATTCTTTGAAGAATAGAAAGTTCAAAAGAACGTAATTTTGTTTGAAATAGAAATCTTTTGTAACGTTGCAACTGTTTAGAGTAGGAAGGCTTCAGAAATTTTGAAAAATGATTATTCATTTTGAGATTTTCTAAATATTACATTTAATAGTGCTTTTAAATTATTAGTGTTTAACGATTAACTTTAAGTGAGTGGAAAAATGCAAAAATAGAGGAAATTAGTAAGCACATTTAGATATAGAAAAATTGGCTAACATATATTCAATATTGACTGATAATCTGTAATGATAAATAACCGAAATGGCATATATAGCCGATATCTCATGCATCCCTAAAATTTGACATTGACATTGCCAGACCACAAAGCAACTCCATCTGGAAAAGTTTCAGCGCTCCCTATGGCTAGTCCCTCCCTGGGGCTAATGAAAGGCGAGGAAGAGGAACATATAGGCAGTCTGACAGCTGCACGGAACGAGACACAAGGGGTTTCATGACTGAAGGAAAGCTCCTTAATCATGAGACTTTTGCTGGAATGATTGTGTCTCCGTCACTTTGCTCTGGACATGTGCTGATTTCCAGCGATGCTTTAAGTAACAGCGTTACTGCCACTCTGGCTCTGGCTGAGAGAATCAGAGCTTATGTGACCTGCAGGCATTACTCATATTGAACTTATCTGCTGAGTGCTTCAGGGATCAGCTGAGGTGCATCCTATGGGAATTTGTTTGCTCCTGTGCTTGTTCATTTTTTGATTGTTGTTTTAATTAAGGGATCATTGCTGATTATAATATTTTGTATGTTGTAGATGTGTCCTGATGGGTAGTTCAAATCTGGCTTAGGTCAGTTCCCGAAACACACCCCTTTTACTCCCCTAATTGTGTGTCACCTCTAACAAATTTAGTCCCTTTAAGGCAAGGCCATTCACTCATCGACCATTTTGGCAACACTCCCGGCAGATCATTTCTAGGCAGCAGGCATTTTGAGTACTGTGCAGTTCCTATCTATTTAAATTGGGAAAGAACAGATCTCCAAAACTATTTGTCAAAATGATGTTTCCATATCAGCAAATATATCCATATCTGACAACAACGGTATCATAAATGTTGCTTTTTCAGCTAAATTGCTGTATTTTCAGGCACATGCGCATTGTAGAATTAAAAAAAGGCAATCAGCTCTTTTAATGGAAAAGTGGGACTTCCATTACTACAGCTGCTAGTTGATGTGTTGCAATTTTTTCCAGTCTTTTTTTTTTTTTTTTTGAGTGAGCCATCTTCTCTTCCTTATGTTGTTCCTGTACTTCTAATTTCTCTATATGTAAAAAGGTAATTGATGAAATATGATGAAAAGCGCAGGCTACAATTAAGCAATATCATAAAAGTAAGAGTGGTGTTGTTCAGAATATCATCAGAGCTGTGGTTCAGATGTAGGAACCATTGTGACTTTGATATAGTTTTTAATAAGCCTACAGCAATTCCATAAACAAACAGTTCATATAAATGAACTTACATTTTACACAGTTATTTTGTCTGAAAACAGCTCTACCACAGCAGAATTAATGAACAACACCAAGCAAATACACAGTAGTGGAGAGTTCGTTCTTGAATGAATCAGTGTTCTTGAATGAATCATTTCAGTGAATGATTCAGTGTCTCGCTTATCAATTGTTTCGTTCCTGATTAAATCAGTGTTTTGGAATGAATCAGTTGGATAAATGATTTAGCCATTCACTCATAAAGAGAACTCGTCACCACCTACTGGCATGTCAATGTAACTTTAAAAAAAGAGTCAGTAAATATCTCCACCAAACAGACTGGCAGCCTAGACCCGCAAACAAACGGAGATATACATTTCAAAGAAAAGCCTCAGTGTCGGAGTAAACATCTGCTCTCTTTGAACACCGCTCAGCGAATCAAATTTGAGAACTAAAATTAAAGGCCTAGGTCATTCAGAACTCATCTTTGCGTTTCTATTTGAACATTCTTCAGCGCTGAATCTTGTGTTTTTAAACGCATTGCTGTTCACACAGAGCACGTTTTTGTATTCCATTGCAATGTTTTTCTATTTAAACATGCTCAGTCTAGAGCGGCACTTGTGCATGACACAGTGCCTTAAAAACAAAATAATTTTTGCACGAAACGTGCACAGTGGAATGAAAAACACAAGTTCTCAAGACAGGTTTTTACAAATTTCTTTTAACTTGAGCGCTGTGATATGATTTTGTAAGTTATCTAAATTTTGAATTATGTTTTTCAGCTGCGGGGCGGCCCTTGTGGCCGGGATGCCACTGTGTACCTTGCCAGTCGGCGGTGGATCCTGAGGGGCAGGAGCTGCCCACCCAGTGCAGAGGGCAGAGGAACAAGCACCCTGACCACGACATGAATCTCTGCTGGAACGAGATCAAACGCAAATCCCACAACATCAGGTATATCACATTTTTTGTTCATCCTTCTATTACATCAGCCTTCTATTATGTTCACTGTTTTCTGAGTATTATTATCCTTGTCTCAGTAGTTAGAAATCCATATATTGCAATTCTCCCAGTCTCAGAGGCACTAATGAAACCGTTGTTTGAGTTTGGGCTGTTTTGCATGTCATTTGTATGTATGTCTGTATGTAATGCAGGGTGCTTTGTTTACATAGTTAGCCTCTTAATTGCAGCCTCGACCCCAACTTTTCTCTGGGGACAAATTTACCAGGGTGTGATTTGGTTTGGACATCTTCCCTGCAGCACGGGGTAATAAGATCATTCTAGGATGGCCAGCAGTAGCAGTACTCTGGCCAGTATTCTGACATCATCCAGCCCTGAAGGAAGACATACAACATCACATGTAATGGAAATGGATTGAATACTAAGTGGCCTCTACAAAAGGCCCTCTGGGATTATATTGCACCAGCGTTGCGGTGACTGACTTTTTCAGCTGGCCGTGTTTTGACAGACAGATGTCCCTTCCATCTAAACGCCTGATTTTTTCAGCTTTGGCATCTATAAAATGCAATGGCAGGCATTTTTAGTAGGATTAAATTGTTTGATTTTTGTTTGGAAGCAAATCATATATATATATATATTTTTTTGTTAAATTAATGGATTATGGTCAAGGTTTTTGTTGGTCTCTGTGCTGTTGTTGTTTTTTTGTTGACTGTAGAGCTGCCATTATTTGTTTTATGCCTAATTTTGAATCACTGCTTGATTTTTGTAGATTGCGTTTCAGAGCAACACAACATGAATAATTTACTTGGAATTTTAGTTGTTTTTTTCTTTCTCAGGCACTGTGACAGAAAGAAATCAAACAGACTTGCTAGCGGGGCAGAACAGAGCTCGTCTTTGTCATTCTCATCAGAATGTTTGGCTTCATTGGGGTCCACTCACACGGCAGTGAATGTGCTGTGACCGGGGGGCTATGTGGCTGAGGGGGTATATGGGTGGACAGAGGCATGCTGGGAATGTGTGATTGCAGACATGCCTGGATATTTCTCACCTCTCTGATGGCGCAGCTGTGAGTGGGTGCTGATGTTGTGACTCAAAACCCACATCCCAAAATCTGCTCAAAGCATCTCTTTGTCTGCGTAGATTGTAAACAATTAACACACCTGAACTTCCACGACTGTGACTGTAATTTGAAGTTAAAGCTAGTACCCTTTGGTGATATCATTCCACATACTGTTCATTCATATTTGCAGAGTTTTATGAAGTATAAGTGCAGAGCTTGCAGTGCTGAAAGTAATAAAACAAGAAGGCCATTCCAGTTCAGTTCTGTTCTGTTCCATGCTCAGAGCTAAATGGCAGGGGTGAGCATGGTGACCTTTGAGCCATCCTCAAAGCCTCATCCAGTCTTTTCAACAGCAGGCAGAAGGCGGCTTGACTGAGCCCTAACAGCATGTTAATTGCTGTCCTTTCTCTGAGTTTTAGGCTCAGAGATTAGAATGTTAAAAACCCTTTTGCTAATGGATCTACTGTCATGTCAAACTTGACATGTAATAAATGTACTTTGTGCATCTGAGTGCAGTCTACGAAAGGGAGAGGAAATGGAATATTCTGTCAAGGCTTTTTGCTTGTTTTGGAAGTAAGATGTCCTCAAATTTTCTTTAGATTTTTAAAGGTGGATGTTTAAGGAATCTTTCGTCAGTTGTAGACCATTAAAGGGACAGTTCTCGCAAAAATTAAAAATGTGTACTCACCCTTATGTTTCTCCAAATCTGTTTGATTTCTTCTGTGGAACATATTTAGAAGAATGTTGGCAGCCTAGTTTTGGTTACCATTGACTTTAATTGTATGAGACATTTCTCAAAATATTGTCTATTTCCACAAAAGAACAGAAGGTTTTAAATGACATAAGGGTCAGTGAATGATAACAGATTTCAAAGTAAATATACTCTTTCCATTAAATGCATTGGAAGTTATTATTACAGTACCTCATGGTGAAGTCTTAGGTTAGGATAAGAGGGGAGATGCCAGCGTTGCTTGTTATCACAAATTGTTGTGTTTTGGATGCTGATGTGCTGGTGACCTGACTTAACTATGCTTACCAGCAAGATTTTGTTTGGTCAGCAAGCTTCACCAGAAAAATCCTGCCGATTCAACAGCCAGAAGGGATGTAAATGGTTTTTGTTGTTGTTGTTGTTGTTGTTTTTAACATTTCCAATTTTTCAATTTGAATGATTTTGGTTCCATAAAGATTTTATTAGTAATTATTTTAATACTTTTGAGGAAGAAATATTTGGATAAAAGGGAAATGTTTTTCTAATTACATTCACACAGCAGTCTGTTACCAAATGATGACATCATTTCAATAGATATGACAAATAAGGAATAAATTCAAAACAGTTTTATCTCAAGTGCATTTACAGACATTTTAGAGGCTGCATAAATGCAATTAATTAATTGTATATTAAATAAAAATAAAATAAAAATACTAAGCGAATAGAAAAGTGGTATAATTTCATTAATTCATTTAAAAAAGAAACAACAAAATTCATTATTGTGTCTCTTTAACTACACATTGTTATATGAACAACCAATTCTTGATTTGAAATGACAAGAGTCATTTGTGACCCTGCCTGGACCACAAAACCTTAAGTCTTAAGTCGCTTGGCTATATTTTTAGCAATAGCCAAAAAAAATTGTATGGGTCAAAATTATCAATTTTTCTTTTATGCCAAAAATCATTAGGATATTAAGTAAAGATCATGCTCCATGAAGATATTTTGTAAATGTCCTACCGTAAATATATCAAAACGTAATTTTTGATTAGTAATATGCATTGCTAAGAACTTCATTTGGACTTTAATGGCGATTTTCTCAATATTTTTATTTTTTTGCACCCTCAGATTTTAGAATTTCAAATAGTTGTATCTCAGCCAAATATTGTCCTATCCTAACAAATCATACATCAATGGAAAGCTTATTTATTCAGCTTTCGGATGATGTATAAACCCTTATGACTGGTTTTGTTGTCCAGGGTCACATTTGTTTGTGAATCGGACTAAACAGATCATTTCATGTTTCAGTTGTAGATTCGGTAGCAGTGTTGTGATCAATAATAGTGCAAGAAACACTATCAGAGTGTTTTAGTGGGTTGTTTTGTCTACGTTGGCAGAAAATTGCATGTTCGAGAATGGTTAATGGAATTTTTTTTAAATGAAACTAGTTCTCTGTTCCCTCTCATATAAAACCAGCCTGGACCAGCACAGAAATTGGTGCTGGTCTTTTCAGCAGAGTTATTTTGAGCTCAGCCCATATTCTGGCATGGTGTACTCATTAGGAGGAACTTTCGGTATGTGTTGCAGCCAGTGGTAAACACAACCTTTTCTAACTTTGCTGAAATGCACATATTTGTGTTTGTACCAGACAGTTGTTCAGTCCTCATATGGTTGTAGGAACCCACGTCAGTTGCATCATGACTTGGGACCAGAGATGAAGAGCAAAAAAAAAAAAAAAGGAAATTTTTGTGAGAGGTACGCTGTGGTGTTTCCAGTTTCTTGCTAGGCTTTGCAAATAAACCCACTATTCAGACACCCTAATGAACAAACGAGTCAAAAAGAATTTGAAAGTGCATGAATTATTAAGTCTTCCCGGCTGTGTTGGGATTGTTGGGATTAAATCAAATAAAGCTTGTCCGGCGCGCTCATCTATCAGCGTGGGGCTGAGCGGATTGCTATCTTTTGCTGGGTAGACACAATGCACTGCTGATACAGTTGCATTCTCTGCTCCAGCACTCTTTGAGGAAATAATAATCATGCATTGACATAAACAACCAACAGCATGGGGTGCTCAGCATGTGAAAATATCTGTCCCTTAGAGAAATGAGAAACTGTAGTTAGGCTGTATCAAATTTTCGTTGAGAGAGGCTGCCAGGCACTTAGGCGGCACTCATCATCCCTAACTTGGCACAAGTTTCGGGTAAGCTAATGATACAGTTGGGCAAGGCTAGACCACCAGACATAGTCTCAGGTTCCCTTAGTTAAGCTCTCTTTTACTCGTACAGTGAGGTAACTCTTGTGGCTTTCCTGACAAGCCTTGTTAAAGTCAAATGTCTGCTTTGTCCCACCTGAGACCTGCCCACGATCTGGCCTTAAAAACGTCTGTACACATGTCTTCCACAGATAATTTATGCTTTAAGCGTGGCTTTATTGGATGTGAGTGAATAAATGAATACACAAGTGTCTGTGCGGGATGCATGTCTAAAGCTCTCTTGCAGGAAATGTATTCCTTTTTGCATCTCAGCGCTCGCATGAAATATTCCAAAGAAGCGTTCCAATGGAGTGTTTATGCATACACAATTATATATATGGAACCAGCTGATATTACAGGTGCAGTATTTGTATTCATGTAAGGGCCTGTGCAGCAGCCCATTGTGTTTGCTTAACTGTGTCTTATAAACAGAATGTAGGGTAATGAAAGAGGCGAGACAGGCAATGCTGAATTGTAAGGCTCATTTCTCCCATGGCACCATAACCTTTTTTAGCCAATGGCTTCATTGCGTCTGAGAATCTGTGCTCGCAGACAAATCTCCCACCCCTCTTTCATTCAGTGTTACATTTTGAGGCTTGTGTTGTTGAGAGAACAGTCCTCAAAGAGAATGATGCCCAGAGCCTTAGACTGTGCTTCTGAAATGGAAACACAAATGAAAGAGAAAGAATACCAGGCACCAAGGCACCTCACTTAAATCTTTACCATTTAGTTATTCACTGATCTGTGAAGCGACCTCTCGCTGATGGTTATCATGCAACATGACCAAAGAACCTGATTTTAACTAATGAGTTTTATCTGTTTTTATTTTGATTAGTGTCTCTACGTTTACATTTTATTTATCGGGCTGTTTTTCAGACTACTTCGCCATGAGAGCGTCCTGTTGATCATCTTGCATATGTTATCACACACAGGTTGACAGGAGAATCTGGTGGTTCATCGTATCAAAAGCAGCA